CAAGTTTTCCAGAAAATACGACGTCGAGAACGTAATGGCGAATTTCCAAGCATGTCATGCGACATTCCTCGTCCGAAAAGAAGAAAATAGACAAGCCTCCTGCTACCCCTTCATCACCCTCAATGTCTATATGTCCTTAGAAGTCCTGGGAGTGTCGTTTGGAGCTTGATACCAGACTTGCAAAGGTGCATATCGTCCCAGGGACGTTGACTCGAGGCTTCCGCCTCTTCGGTTACCGGGGGTAAGCAGTGGGGGTTGCATCCCTAGCAAGCAAGTGCTCTGCAAATTCTCCCCGGTGGGGTAAAGTGACTAGAGACCAGATATTACGTCGTTATCCAACTCTAGTCTAGTCTTGGTCGTCAACGTCGTCTTGTCGCGGAAGGCGTGGTCAGCTTTCGCGCACCTTTGCACCTGTTTGCTGACGCAAGGACACGCCCTCGCGGATTCCACGGGCCGCCCTCTACTCTATCTCTTTCTTCTTTGCAGACCAGACAAATCTCTATTTTCTCCACTACTTTCTCTCCTCTCTCTATCTCACTATCTACATCCCACGCTCGCCTTCACAGCATCTCAATTTCTTCAACTCTCCCTCCATCTCACTCTTTTTACACCTAAATTTCAGTTTTCATTTATGCCAGTTACGCCCATCGTGCAACTGCAACCTTAAATTGCACTTTTTTTTTTATTCTCCAAGACCAAGCTACGTGGAGAGGAGCGTTTAGAGAAAATAATCCACTCTAAAAGCCAAGTTGAGAAACAGTTGTTGATTCTTGTTTCATTGATAAATAGTTGAAATATAGACAAATTTACCTGCACTAATTGCTTTTATTTTAGGATGATGATAAATGATAAACAAATGAAAATGTTAGCTTTATCATTGAGCTGGATTTTATTTGTATTGATAATAAATGATGATAGTTGAGTAAATAATGTAAAATAGACTAATATAAGCCGAAACAGCAGCGTTCTATAATAACAAGATGAGTACAATACTCCAAGTAAAGTTTAAACCGCAATGTAGCTTGTATTGTTTCTACATCATGTATACGCATCTTGATAATTAGTGACTTAATGAAGCTACGATCAATATTATTGTCTAACAAAATTACCTCTAACTTGATGTACATATATTTTGGGATGAAAAAAAAAACGGCTGTATTATTTTTATATTCAATAAATTTATCTTTCAAACAAAATTATTGGAAAGTGTATAATAAAATATACACATCTCGTGGTAAATTGAAAAGTCTATAATGTAATATAAAAGAGAACAAAAATGTATAGCAAATAAAAATATTTTCATAACGACTTTATCTACTTCTTTTATGTCAAACCATTTAAATTTTATGATCGTATAACTGAATCACTCAATAAAAAATACTTTCAAAAGGTATAGAATCATAAAAAAAACTCAAAAATGGATTTATTTTTGTATTAAAAGTAAGATTATTGTAGTCTACTTATTACAATCTCAACAAAATTATTTCTCTTCTAAGATATTTAATTTTTTTTTAATAAAAAATTAATTACCATACAGTTTAAAGTGAGCTAATTTATGGACAAGGTTTAAAAAGATTATCGAGAGGACAAGTGATAATGGTACAAATATTAAAAAAAAAAAAGTAGAAAGATTAAAAGCGAATGGTGAGAGGTAGAAGACAACAAAAAGCACGTGGAAGCTGGCGACGCGCGCCTCTGGTCTGTTGTATATCTATCAGGGGTACTTTTCACCCTTGTTGCCACCACCATCACCCCACTTGTTGTGCTTTACTGTGCTGCTATGTTGCCTTGTGTATCGAGAAAGTTCAACGCCAAGCCAGACGATGTTTCCCATCCCTCGAACTAACATTGAATCAACAGGCTTCTAGTGAGCTTTTCCCTCTCAATTTTCCCTACACCTTCAAAATTCACCCTCTGTCATCATCATTGATTTATCATCACTCTTGTCTTTTGCTTCTAAAACCTCGAAAATATATCTAAATATTACTGATATTTATTTTCTGATTAATTCTGATTCTCCATAAATACAAAATTGTTTTTTTTTTATAGATAAAAAGTAATATATTTGAATTTAATGCAAACTGTATAAATTATTTTAGGACATAATTAGATTTATGGAAATCCAGAGGGTTTGATAAATTTTCTATAAACTTGAAAATAGTGGATTTGAAATCACCAACACATCGTTTAAACTTTTAATATCATCTCTGGTTGCAGAAGTGAATGGGTGATGTTAATAAATGAAAGGAGAAAAAGGAGTAGAAGGGGATGAAAATGAAAAAGGAAGAGTAATCTAGGGAAGTTTAAAGGAGAGGGTTCCCTGTGGATCTTTAACTCCTGTGCAGGTGGCCAAAAGATCTAGTAGGAAGTCAATTGGTATGCACGGAACATAGCCATTCATCTCCCGATCTCCAGCAATCGTCTCGACCTCCCGGATATAAATTAGCTTTTGTTTAGCATTCAAAGCAAGACGCCTTTATACTTGGCTCACTCTCTATCTCTATCTCCCTTAGACAATTTCCACTAAATTCATACCAATTAATGTAGCAATTTAAAAAAAACACCACTAATTACAAATTGTCAGTTGAAATAGTTTATTTATTTGAACTTAAAGTTCAAATAATTTGCCAGCAATCACTGACAGTCACAACGTGATAGAAAGTTGATATAAAAGGATTGATTATCATATGAAAGGGTTGGAAATATTGAAAAAGGGACGTGAAAATGTCAAGGAAGCAAGCAGAGTCAGTTTGAAATATACAGAAATGTAAGTTGGATAAGTAGAATAATTAATAAATGCGAAAATGCATTAGCATGCTACACCACAAGAGAGAAAATTGGACGTGGATAGAGTTGAGTAGTTACCAAGAGTAGCTACCCTGTAGGAATTATAAAATAATAAAGAGAAAATTACGTAATGCGGGGATCAGATGAGAATTAGAGGACAATGAGGACACGGCTAACAGTGTTCTTAGTGTAAGAGCGAGACTACATCGAGTTGTTACGCGACATAAGAGGGTAGATATCACCCCTAAAGTTAAGGGACGGAGGTCGAGGACCAGACGTCTTAATGTCTACGTCTGAAGTAAAAGACAAATCCTCAAAATTCATAAATCTACAGATTAATAATAAAAACTTTTTATATTATATTTTATCATTTTTATATCCTTCTTTCTTTACAATTAAATATTTTTTATTTATTTTTAAACAACTATTTATTGATTTTTTGTTTTAACCCGAGTTGAAATATAACACTTATTATTTATAAAATATAATATAAATTAATTTTTTTCATGCTATTCCTATCCTTTCTATCCCTACATTCAACCTTTTTATCCTAATATTATTCTGTTTTATTTTTTGAGTAGATAAAAATTAGGATGATACAGCCTAATTTTAACCTTCTAATCCTAATACTTTTTTTATCCTTCTGAAGTTGGTAAAAATTAGGATATAGACAGAATAGCCTGATTTCAACCTCATAAATTGATCTGCTTATATCTAGAAGTACTTATGGAAGTAGTTGGAATAAGGTCACGATTCATATAATGGATTAATTTTCCAAAAATTATATTTATCACAAATTGAATTGTTTTAAATGATTTGTTACAACCTAATAATAAATTAAATGAAACTGCTCTTTCAAATATGAACATGGTCGATATTATAATAACTCCCATTACAGTCATACTTGTTTTAATAATACATATGATGTCAATGCTGATAGACAGCCCAATTGGAATTGAAATAAAATAAATAATTATGAATAATAATGTTTTTATTAAAATAAAATTACTCGAATCTCAAATGAAATTAGATTGAAACCAGGAAAAGGATGAAATAAAAGTTGGATAAAGCTAAGGCAAAAGAAAAATAAAATTAGGATGAAGATAGGATAAAATTAGCATGAGTTTAGGATAAAATTGAAAAATTTTCGTCCTACGAAAACACTAATTTGTTACGTATTTTGACTTTATTTAGGATTTGTTCATCTTAAGTTAAACCTTAAGAAAGGAATAGTTTATACTAATTGACATGATTAGATTCAATTTTAGAAAAATAATTACGTAATTATTCCAAGAACCGATTATAAGGATTATAAAGTGAAAAAAACACGAGTACAGATTGAGAAGTCAGCATTTTCACGATCGTCATTTTACACGCGAGAATGAAGTCATCGAGTGTAATATAGCTTGGGGAATAAAATAAGAGAAAAGTAAAAGAGAGACCCAACTCGTCATGACATGCTCGTATCGTTTGCTGTATAATACAACTACATGGTTATAGCTTATTAGCTAGTCAACGTGATGCTTCACTACGCCACGCAAAACGTTTGTAAGCATCTACTAAAGTTTAAGATTTTTTCTCTGTTGTTGTCGTGATCGTGAGAACATGCAAAAACATTGGCTGACTATACATGTCGTATCTACTTCCAATCGTCTAAATAACTCTGTTAGGTATACTTGACTTACTATTTTCCGCGTTTGCATCATCGTTCGATTTGTCATACAGGAAACATTTTTATGATGACAATATTATTGAACGAAAATATATATATATATATATATATATATATATATATATATATATATATATGTTTTACACACTAGTCATTAATTCATTAATATCATTAAATTATTATTTAATAAAACATTTTACTTTAAAATAATAATAAGAAGATTCAGAAGTCTCTTATCATATTATTGTACTACATGGTCGTAAATAAAATTATTTTTGAATCAAGTCAAAGTGTCAGAAGAGTGTTCGCAAAATTGGTATGCAAAGCTTGCGAAAACTGCCAACGTTTAACTGTTGCTTTATGGTCTTTAAACCTCGAAATAGGTCGTTATGAGGTGATTTAATAGGCAACAAATATTTTAGCGTATTTAAATAGCCAAATATTTGTCATTATTGCTACTTAATGCATTAAATCCATGTATACACTGTGTGATATATAACAAGATCCTTTCAAGGAGTAGTGAAAAAAAAAATAAACTTACACTGAGTCGATTTTGGCTGCGTGTATTCAGCTGCCAAGGAATCGTAGTTGACTGGAAGTGGTTTTTTCCCCAGGATCCAGTGTCAAATGGACCTTCACCAATGTATCCCTGGACATAAAAATAAATTTGTTCGTTACTTTTTTGTGAAAATAAAATTTCTCAACGATTTAAAGTCATTTATTTTCCAATGTTTTTATTTTAAAAGTGATTTTTGTTATATCTAATTATCATGATAATAAAAAAAAGTTTAATTTTATAAAATAAAATATGGCGGAAGGAAAAAGTCGTTGTACACTTTCATAAATTCACGAGTTTCTCCGGCGATTCTTACTCTCATCCAACGAATTTTTTATATAATATATTCCTAAGGGCAAGCGTCGTGGCTTCTTACCTTTAAACTCATTTTCTCTCTTTCTATCATCCTCCTGTTCTCTTTCACGCTCGACTTTACACCCCATAAGCCTTATTTTTCTTTTAACTTTACTTTTAACCTAGAATATCTTTGGGTGGTTCGTAAATCACGCGGTATAATGAGAATACTTCATCTCCTCTGCAATGTTTTCTTACACTTTTACATTGCAACTGTTTTCATTTTTTATTTTTGTCATATGGAATTAATTTTGTTTCATCCGTAAATTTTTTTTTTCTTTTTGGAATCATAAAATTACAGTCAAGAGTCAATTCATTACAACAATAAAACAAATGAACCATAAATTAACTTTTTATTTCAACATTAATTTATTTATTCCAAGAATAAAATTAATATTTAAATCACTATACAACTATAGAGATATGCAAACAATTATTTATAAAAAAAATATTAAAGCAAAAGTTGATCTGTTTATTGGTAAAATTACTTTACAATAACATTATTGAGTGTAATTACACCTGCGAAGAACAGATGCGATAAAAAAACAAATAAACTATTTAAAATAAAAAAAAAAAAGTGATGAAAAAACAATAAGTATTTTTTTCTTTATATTTCATGTCATGGTTAATATTTAATGCCATTGTTTTTTTCTCGACAAATAATTTAACAGGTAGTATTATTAGAATTCATCATTTGCTCATTTATATGTGGATATATACATAGTCTAATCGATCGATAGGTGGAATCGATACTAACCTTTTTCTTACACTCATGGAGGCAAAAATAAACATTCACAAAGGTAAATAACGTAGCAGATAGTAACATATACATTAAAAGAAGATGTAAAGCGTGTCGGTTTGCTTATGAACATCTCTAGTATATGTGTATCAGAGTATACGTATTTATATGTGTACTTCATATATACATACATATATATGTAAAAATGTGTAAAGAACTTTCCAAGAGAGTACTATCGTATGGACTCTTATTTGCATGTGCGAGCATAGCGTGCAGCTGGACACACAATACTGTACTCACTAACGTGAATAGAAGGGAAGATGGGTAAAAGGGGAAAGCAAGAGGAGAAGTACAAATGAAACTCACGATGCAAACAAAACACGCAAACAACCAACGACTTGTAAGCCAACACATATAATATAATAATAGTCGTCGATGCGCAACCATAAGTATTATTATGTCTACATGTGACGAATGAGAAATAAACAAATGGATTTCCTTTCTCACTGATAAACAAACGGAAATATCAGATCAATTATTATTATTAGTCATGCAGCTCCTTTAATAATAGAACAAATCATCAATTATTTTGCTATTTTTTCTGCTATTTTACTCACTATGTATTCTATAAATACTTTTTTTTTTGGATGATTAAATTTAATGTTGACTTTGTAATTGTTATAAATAAACATTTGTTTTTTAACTTCCCAGTGGGAATTTTACAATTCATAAATTTTACTATTTTTAAGACAAAATTTCAAGATCCTTTAAAAAATATGATTACTAAATGTTAGGAGTAATTGTATGAAAAATATGATGTCAGTATTTCATCAAAAAAATAATTTTAAAAACAAAATTAGCAATAAAATAATTTTAAAGTTGTGTCAGTATTGAGAGAATAGCATTGAAGACGTTCTAACAGGGTGAATAATTATTGTTGATAATAAGAAAATTGTGTTCATAACAATTAAATATTGTTGATAACAAATAATTACTGATCATAATAATTAAATAAAAAACATATTGTATTTTTTTATTCTTTCCACTGGGAAGTTAATCCCAGACCATTGATATTTATTTATAAATTAATTACTAGTGAGATGGAAAGTTTGATGAGCATTGAATGAAATATGCAGACAAAAAAACTTTATTTATTTGATTCAATCTCGGTAGAACAATTAAGTTTTCCAGATGATCCCAGTTGTGTCTTGATTTATTTTGACGTGATTTTTCAGATGACGATGAAGTTTGTATACACAAGGGGAAGTTTAAAATTCTTGACATCAAGTTATGAAGAAGGTGAAAATAAAGATTTTTCTCTCCCTATTTTTCATCCAATTATTGTCAATATTTATCAAATTTAATTTTATTTTTAAAACACTTATTTTAACCAAAATTCTTAAAATTGACAGAAAATAAATGGAAACAAAAATACTAGTAATAAACAAAATAAAAAGAAATAATGAAAGTAGTAGTAATCGGATTAGTTGTGTTGTAGAATTTTCAGAGGTTTTGACAGTTGAAATGCAGGGTAACAGGAAATCCTGAGTCACACGCAGATGTGGCTGACGCGGTGATTACATGAACGTTGTTTGTCGACGGGATTTACAGATGCTGCACCAAGTAAAGCGAGGCGTAAACGTACTGATAAACAAAATAAAAGCCTTCATCATGACAATATTGTGTGTGGAATCTTTCTCTCTGATACTTAAACACACACTCTCAAATCCACCATCATTATTATGATGATTTCAATCCTTAAGAAAATATAAAAAAGAAAAAAATTCATTGATGTCTGAAATTATTTAAAAAATTAAAAAAAATAATAATAAAAACCTTCATAGTGATTTATCAGCAAACATTAATTTTTTTCGTATTTTTTTAAAATGATGTTCATCTTAATATTTTTATGTAGAGTCATTTAGCTCAACAGCGGTAAATAGGCAGAAAACTGGGCGTGAGACGAGCAAATGTAACGTGGTCGAGCGACTCAGTATAGTCTCTAAAAATAAATGTGTTGTTTATTCACAAGTAAACCGGATGCCAGTGTTTGCTTTGGAGCAAATTGTTTTGTTCAGTTTTGTACCATGAAAACTTAGTATAGCAAGGAATATACTTTAAGACAACAAAATATAATAATGTATATCTTAGATCTTGATGACTTTTATTATTATTATTTTTTTTTATTTTTTAAATCATTCTTTTACTTGACCTTCAATAACTATAATCTTTTTTTCTGTTGATCACTTACATTGTGTTTTCTTCTATGCGTATCGTTTTTTCTTCTGACAATTGAATCAATATTACTATCATTTTCACATAAATAATTGTCCACACGTGCCTGACAAAAAGAAACGTCATACTTTACGTGTAATGAAATACAATCTGTTATTGACTTTTGAATAAAACACCAACAAAATAATCAAGTACGTTAGAAATTATTTCAAAGTTATCTCTAATGTCAAATTATTTGAAATAAATCGATGTTTTTTTTTTCATTAATGCACAACTTTTTCCAATAGTGTGTTGTATGGCCAATGAAACATGATTTTATTTCTACTTCAGGTTTATTACTTCAAGTTACAGTTGTTTTGGTATTACATTATATAATTTAAAAAATAGAAAACAAGTAGACAGGTTGGTGTCTTAGAAAAGAGTTCTTTGGTTCCTTAAAATGGGATGAAATCCAGGATAGAAGGGGTTGTTGTTTGGTGATGTAAGGCTGTTTTTTTTTTGAGTAGTGATACTGTCGAATCAGGTAATTGAGGATTTTGGAAAGTGTAGTTCTCTGGGGAAATATTAGAGTGCAGTTTTATGACGGGATATTGGAAAAAGGGTTTGAGAAATTCAAAAAAAAGTTTCTTGACAATAAGTAATTACAAAATTAATCATTTAAAAAAAAATTCATCTTCAAATGTAAGATCTTTATTATAAATAAATATTTATTTAGTTCCTTTTTCTTTGTAAATAAGGAAGTAAATACATAGAATAAAATAAATAGTGTAAATAGAGAATATTGTTAGTCATAGTAGGGAGTAAAGTAAGCTTATTTGGTGAGACAGGTAATTTGGTGATAGACTCTTAATTAAAAATCATCTAAAACATTACTTATGCACGCAATGTCGCGTAATGATGTGTCACTATGACTTGTCCACCTTTGTGGCGAACTGGTTGCATCATTCTGCGTAACTGCATGCATAGGTAACGTTTTGGAAGACTTTTAAGCGTCAATCATCAAATTACCTGTCTCACCAAATAACCTTACTCTACCCCACCTGTGTTCAGAGTGGACGATGTGGAGTGATGAAAAGAATGGTAATGGAGTCCTCTTTTTGCAAAGTGTAAATTGCAAAACTGTTAATGTAAATAAAAACTGTTATTGTAGGAATTTGTTCATTACTATTGTAATAATGATTGGATCACTGCAAATCCAAGTGCATTCTTATTATACATCTAAATGTGTTAAAAATGACGTCACCCATTTGATTAACATTGTAGTCACTTTTAATGCGTTTCTAAGTGTGTAAAAAGTGACTATAATGTTAATCAAATGGGTGACGTCATCTTTAACACATTGAGATGTCTAACAAGAATGCACTTGCATTTACAGTGATGACAAAGAGCGAAGTGTGTTGCTGTGGCTGCCTGATTAAAATTAAAATAGTTCAAATTGTTATGTTTTGTATCAGGTGTAAGGTTTAAGTATTAAGTTTTAAGGCAATGTTATTTAATTGATAGTATGGAAAATATTGTAAAACGCCAAGACTCAATTGGCATATGATGAAAATAAATAAGTTTATTATTATTATTATTTATTTAGTTTTAAAAAGTATCTGATCTTTTAATAATTCTTAAAAGAATGTATCTAATGTTTAGATCAAACTAAAAACTTGAAAAAGCATCAAAATAATTGTTCTTTTCCTAAATTTATAAATAATTGGTAATAGGAGGATTGAAGAGAGTTTCATGATAGTTTGAAGAATCGATAAAAATGATTAAT